CTTTCCAAATTTCATTGGGGATTTGACATGTGCCTGACCTAAGGTAGACTCAATTAACAATGTATCATGTTGTGTTGACTTCCTATACCCAAAATCTCTCAAACAAACCCTTGCTATGTAACATGACATGTGTCATTTCTTATATGACTTTTTTTTTTCTTTCAACAGTGTCATTTTGTTGTGGCATCTTGAGTGTAGGGAACTCATGTCTAATGCCATTTTCATCATACTATGTATAAACTCAGAGTTGTCAAACTCTCTTCTGTGGTCACTCCTCCTAATTCTAACCACTTTTCCTATGGCATGGCCTAACTCATGTTGGACTTTCTCGTAAATGATTTTGAAGCTAGAAAAGGCCTTAGACTTCTACCTCAAAAATGCAACCGAAGTGTACCTAGAATAGTCATCTACCATTTCTAAGATATACCTCTTCCCACCTATGCTCTCCATTTGTGTTGGACTCATAAGATCCACGTGAATGAGCTCTATGGATCTCTTAGTCGTGATGGTCTTCACTTTTTTCTGAGAAATTTTTGATTGTTTCCCTAGCTAGGTCCTTGTTGTATCAAAATCCTTCGATTGAACCCTCTTACGGCATCCCTCCCCTACACGCTTTGGTAGTTATTTTCTCTATATTGGGTACTCCCCATACAAGCTCCTTGCTTGTAATCCGATTAAGGTCTTTGTATCATGTGTCCTAACCTCTAGTCTCATAGTGTGGCCTCGTCTACACTTGCCCTATGACACACTAATAAAGGATTTGGAGATATACAATAACAATTATCTCCAAACCAAACCACTTCCAACAAACACTCCACTTTATCATTTAACTCATTGCATTTTTCTTTCGTGAAGTGTACAGCATTGCCATCATCACACAATTGGCTATTACTAATAAGTTTGGCCTTTAACCCTTCCACATGAAGGATATTATCCAACTTTGGCCTGCCCGATGTTGAATGGAACCCTTTCCTACAACCTTGGAGGCACTCTCATCTCCATATGTGATTGTCCCTCTGTTGCATTTCTCTAATACACAACAATGAGACTTTTCTCTAGCCATATGTCTTGAGCATCCATTGTCAAATTACTATTTATCCTTGACTTGGGCTTTTATTGCAGTGTGAACTACAAGATACCTCTCGTGAATTGATGACACAACTATCTCCATGGACCAAACTCAACCCAGGTAAAGTAAATAAACACAAGATATGCCTACAATGTGTCTATATGCAATCCTCAAAGCAACCACACTCTAATACCAATTGTTAGGGCAGAGATACTATGGATTTTCCTTCACGATGAAACACGTGGGATGCTAGACATGACCAAAGGATGAATAGGTTAATTAAAATTTTCTCTTGGACAACCACCAATTTTAATCTATGTCTACCATAATTACCTCTTTACAAATTAATTTAACAATTAAGTGTGAGAACTCCTCAGCAAGAACAACTTATACCCACCATGTGAATTGGTGTGTATATGAATATGTCAATTTGTTCAATTAACACTCAATCTCACAACAACAAAAATCCCTTCCAAGGCAACAACCCACAAAACCACTATGAATGTAATGATAGATCAAACAACCATAACATCAAACACATAGTGTCCGTGTGTACCAAAAATTACAAGAGTGTACAAATATAAAAATAAAGAATACAAGCAATTTGTTGACACGAAAACTCTTCTAAGAAAAAAGTACGAGGAGCCACTCAGAGTTCATTAAAGTTTAATCCAGTATCCTAAGATCAATCTATGAGTACTCGAGTCTTATAACTCAAACAATACCATAGTTAGACACTCCTTTTTCTTCAATAGATATCTCCATCGAAACTCCCTCTTCAACATAATGGATAACTTCACTTGAACTCCCTGTTGCACGGTTCATTTAGGCCTCAAGCAATCTTCTCCACCAAGATCCTCGATATGCACACTCAACAAGTGTGTTTGGGAAAACCAAGCAAGTTCTTCTTCTCCAATGTGAGTTTGGATAAGGATCACGAGATAAGTTAGCCTTTGGATTTAAAGATCTAGGGGTTACTCAATGATCTCTCAAGGTTTAGAGGCAAGAAATAAGCTTACATGAAAGATACCCTAGCTTGGGAAGGCTCCCTCTATTTATGGGGTCGGAATAAGGTTTGTCTTGGGGACCAGAAAAACACAAATTCGCAAACCACCACTCGAGCACTGGGAGAATAGTGGTTGCTTGAATAAAAAAAAGATTCAGACCATATCAGTAGAGTAGGGACCGCTCGAGTAGGCTGAGAGAGACCCAAAGTGCAGTCTACACTACCCACTCATTCTATCTTTTTCAATTTTATCCCTAAGTGTTTAGAAACTGCTCCAGCAAAGGCTAGCGAATATAGGGCGATCCCTATTAGTGTTTTTAAGCCGAAAACCAAGTGACAAACTTATTCTCTTAAGCACTATAAGGTGTTGCTCAGGTAGGGTTTGATTATGTTTCAAACTATATTTCAAAACACAACAAGGTTTAGAAAAACTTTTCTTTGAAAATCCCTAGAAGTCATACTCGGATTAATCACAGGTTTTATTTTTACTCTAATCATCATAAGTCTAATAAATTAAACCAAAGATTCATAAGTCTCTAAGGTCATTACCTTTGTCCTAAACAAGAAAGTGTATACAAGAGTTTCTTGATATTTCTTGAAGCACGATCTCATTCCTTCCATTGACACTTTCGGATTTTAACTTTGTAATATCATGACCATGAAATAGGTTGAGATTTACAAAAAAAACTCACGAAATTAGTCAATTAAAAACATGATCCTAACATAGTGAAATAGACTTATTTTATATGTTGACTTTAGACCCTATTTAACTATAGTGAGAAAGTGAGATCAACAAATATCATTGTTTTGGATAGTGAAAGTAGGCCAATTTTCCTTATTTGGGGGAGGGAAATTGAACCTATTTCACTAGGAAATCTGTACAATGAATTATTCTGCAATAATCAGGTGTTCAAACAAATCGATTGTCCTTTCTATATTTACAATCCATGATAGTGAAATACCGCATATTTAGCATCAGCAACAGATTTTGGTGCATTTCATTATTCGTCACTCAATTGTCTTCTCTATCATTAAGTCAACATAAACTCTCTTTGTCACAAATTTAGACAGTACTACATATTTTATTATCCAATTCAAATGTATTCTGTTCCCAACATTTCTATAAAAGTTAGAATGGTGAAAGCCTCTCACACATAATAATTTTTTCCCTAACTTTGTTGTGAAAATTTTCTGTATATTTCTCAACTTCTTTGTTTTTTTTTTGGTAATTTCTCTTTGGTTTGGTTTGGTTTGGTTTGTTATTGTAACTTTCTTCTTTAGGTTTCGGGTGATAGAGGGCAAAATCTCCACTGACACGTCGTCAATGTTGCCATCATAGACAAGAGTAGAAGTAGAGATGTAGAGGTGTGGCATTACCACCATAGACGAAAGATATTGAGAAATAGAGATAGGGAGACAGTGATGTGTCGGAGACATAACCGAAATAGAGATGGAAAAAAGGCAATGTTGCCACCATAGATGAAGGAGACGTAGAAGTAGAGATGGAGAGGTGGTGACCTGTCACCACCGCAAATGACGGAAAAGTATGGAACAATGATGTCAAGTGTCGCCATACAAACACGACTTCATGGATTCAAGTGAGCTACAGAGATACTACGTAAAAAAGAGAAAAATGGGGTTCTAGATCTACGATGCCCTTTTTCCTTTAAAATAAGGGCAAGTTTGTCTTTTTTTATGAATTTGTCCATATGTACTGAAAAATTACATCATTAGATCAAGTTTTTAAGTCTAAATAACATTAATCTTAAAATATTTATTGTAGTGAAAAAATTAAATATAAATAGACAAATTTACTACAACTTAAATAATCATTCTACATTATTATAGTAGAATACTAGTTGATATCCTGTACAATGCACAAAATTTGAATAATTAAATAAGTCAAATGACATAATTTAATTGAAATGGGTTAAAAAAGTTACAAAATTTTGGAAATTAAGCATTTGGAGATGGAAAGTCTCTTAAGTCCTCTCACCCAAAAAGAAATTGCTTATTTTATATAAATAGATAGGTGAATAAAAAAAAAATACGATTTTCATTCCTAGAAAAAAAAATTTGCTTACTGCTTAGTTGGATTCCGGAATCATCAACGTCCACCATAAAACATTTGTTTCCACGCCCACGATTTCCAAGGCCCTTAGCCCGCCGGATTTGGACATCAACTCACCCCCATCAAAGAAGTTAATTAATGCCAATGAAAATAATTACATTATCATATGATAAGAAGGAAATTTTGTCTTCTTTTTATACGGCAAGGCTTATCTTAGAATCCCCCCTGGGCAAGAGAGGTGAGACCAAAGGTGTAATTCTCCACCATAAACACTCCTCAATTATAAATTACACAATTATCTATTGAAAGAAGACTCAAGGAACAAATATATAGTGAGCTCTAACCATAAAGAAAATATGCAAGAAGCAATCTAAAACCCATCTTAGCTTCCTCGGTTGAAATCTCACGTTGGAGTCGGAGCAGATCATCCGTATATTTCCCGTTCAATTGCTACCAAAAGACCGCTTTTTCAACTATTGAACACCTGCTTTGGCGTAGGTGGAGTATTTAGCCAGTTGCCTAACCAACCTAATGATTCGCCATGTAAATAGTTCCTTCGAAAACTGCCAACTGCGTAGTAATCATTTTCGAAAAATTCAATGCTTTACCAGACGTGGAAGCTGAACGAATGTTTGTAGCCCATAATTGACATGAATCACACACACACACACACAGCGGACGCTTCCTCAAATTACAGTTTTAGAACACATTTTTGGTGCATCAAGAAGCTGCAGCTCACTCTGGATTGCCATTAAAAGCTTCCGAAAAATAGCATTACTCAGCTCCTTCGCAATAAACAGATAGACAACCACGATCACATCCGGAAAATAAAAAGGTTTAAAAATGGCACTCGACACTGAAAACTACAAGAGGTCAATTTTCTAGAGGCAAATACCATACAGCTAGTACAAAATAACAATTCATATATCCACTCGGTGCACATAACAAACAGAAAAACCAATAACATTCCAATATTTTGTGTGCGTTTGTTTGGGATGGTGGCAGAAGGGAAGGACACCGGACACCCACACAAAAAGATGGAACATTCTAACAGTTATGTATAATCACAAAATCCCAATAACCATAAAATGATGTTAATTTCTTTGGACCCATTAGCTCATGGTCAAAAATGTCTCCCCTAGATTTTTTTTTTTCATTTAAAAAGAATACGACATAGAATTGAAGGAGCTAAGACAAAGACCCGTCACCCTAGCACAAGAAGCAATAACTGAAATCACGATTTGCTCCCTGAAAGTTATAGGACTTCTCATCTGGTAAAGAATCCTGGTAATACAGACACGGCTACCAGACAGTCTAAAAAGCCATACGGCCAGCAAGCCTGCTTTCTGATATCCTTCTGTCGATGGCGGCATCAATTGAACTCATCTGAAAAATGGAACCCCATTATAGAAAATTAAAACAGAACCATGACCACAAATCACAATCTATGTACCAGTTAGATAATACATTTTGTTTTTATGCAAAAGATACCAAAGAAGCTGACCTGGGAAAACTTTGAATTAACTGTTCGATCATAAAATATATTGCAAGAATGGCATGAAGGGGAAAATATCTGTTGGGTAATTTTCTCATTCTAATCAAACCCCCACACTCCATGATCAATCACAGGGAGAACAAGAAAATAGTAAACAAATAAAAATTTCCAAGAGCAAATACATACTCTTTGCTTAACCGAGTATGAAGCTAGTTGAGAATCCTCGAGTTGATCGCAGCGAGCTTGTCACAATTGTAATTACTAACTAAGAGCAAAGATAATGTAAATACCTACTTGAACCTTTGATGACCACAAAATTGGTGGGATTGCTTGCCTACCAGAGAATGGCCAAGAAAATAAAACAGCCCATCGATCAATGGGGTTGAAGTAGAAAGATACTTGATTAAAAGGCTCAGATATTCTTTGCGCAGTGCGTTCTTTATTTTAAAGGTAGTAAAAATTCAAATATATACAGAGGTACCTTTGTAAATATGAAAGAATGTGTAAACAACCGAATCTGACAATCACAAAAGGTAACGTCTACCCATCTGGTTAGATGTGCAAAGCAACTCCATATTCCTCTTAAAGAATAGTCGTACAAGGTAGTTATAACTTACCTGGCTAGTTTCATCATGAACCTGATATTTCGGCAAGGACATTCTTCTTTCCTCCTGCAAATATTTTACAACATTACCAAGTGAAGCGAGTACACTACCATAATAGGACGGGAAAAAGCAACTGAGAAAGTATATTTGAAAAAGTAAAATAGAAAGAAAAAAAATACTGACCATCGACATTGCCTCATCATCCCAAACTAAATAGACCTCATTTGTGGCTGGCTGGGTAGCAGGAGCTTTGTTTGCAATCACAGGAGGCGGTCCAATAGAAGGACCGCCAGTATTTGGACCAGAGGCATACGAATGTGAATTGACCGGTGTCCCAACTGCATTAAATGAATGTAATGCATCCATAAAACTGCAATTACTATACATATTCTACTTAAATTTTAGCTACTAGTTTAACAAAATAAAGTTTCCAAATTTTGATCAACCTTAACTTCGTACCTAAATGTCGCATTCACATGGATGACTTATGTCTCACATACAATGATAGGTGTGCATGTATATGTTTTCAAAATTGCACAAACAACTACAAATGAAACCGTCCTGAGGCATTTCCCAGAGCTTTTTAAATTTGTACACAGCAAGATTTGATCGGTTTGTCGACGAATGTGTTGGGTGTACATGTGTGTTATTTTATGCTGTGATTCTCTCTCTCTGTGTAATGTTTGTTTGTTTGTTTGTTCGAACCAAATTTTCAAGCTCTAAAATGTGCTGTTCATCATTTCAGTCCAACATCAAAATCAAAAGCAAATTCTATCATCAAAATCTTTCAGAGCAATATGGAGTGTAAAGGGAAAACAAACCTTGAATGCCTGGGCTGTTGTAGCTACTTGCCACAGAAACATTGTTGCTAGTATGCAGGTCAAGTGAGGTTTTGAGTTCCGTAGGAGAGGTTAACAGGATACTAGTTGAGAGCAAAGGTCCAGAAAAAGGTGAAGTTTGAGTAGGTATATTGCTAGTTGCAACTACGGGAAACAATGGTTGAGAGACAGGAAATGAAGGCAAAGACGAGGGCAGTCCTGGAGGAGCAATCGGCAATGACGGGGGAGGAGCAGGCGGTGCAGAGGCCGGCATAGGTGGCCTCACATTCTGTACAGGGAATAAAGGCTGTTGTGCCATTCCCAGTGGTGCAGATGGAGGAACTGAGACAGCTGGATACTGCGGATACCAAGGTTGGGGCCGAGGTGGAACTGGCCAACCAGCAGGACGAACTGGTAATGCTGGATTATAACTGCTCACAAATTACCAAAAGAAATAACAGAAATGGTTAGCTTATTTTTTTCAATAATTCAAACAAATAAATTCTCTCACAAGCGCATATGGGACCCGATACATTCTTATTTCTATGGAAGCAGACACAAGTGTGAACAAAATTAACTCGACTCAATTGAGCTGTATCCCAACTAAATGAAGCTTGTTCCTTCGGTGTACTCTATCAAGGGGACATTTTCTATTAAACCGCAAGCTATCATATACTTTTTTACTATCTCATTCAGAAATAATTTTGGTCTACCTCTACCTCTCGCATTACCCTCAATAGGAATCACATCACTCTTTGTTATCGGTGCACCAGTAGGTTTTTATTTAATTTATTTGTTATTGGTAGTACATCTACAATTTTATATACATCCAATTCTATAATTTCTAGTTATACAACTCACCCATCTTAAAGTTCATATTTCAGCCACACTCAGTTTTTGAATATGTTATTTTTAGTGCTTAACCTTCTATACCCGAAAGCATTGCCAATCTCTGTGTTGGAGACATACCTTTCAGTTTAAGAGGTATAAATCGCTCATATAATACACCAAATACGTTCCTCCATCTAATATATACTCAAGATAAAAATATACGTACATAAGACTAAACCTTTATGCAATCCTACATTGATGGAAAATTCACCTCTCCCCTACAACTGTTTACATTAAAGACTGTACATTATTTGTACAAATCCTTACTCATATAAATATAGTCACTTGACCCTTTTCTTTTATAAAACCCACCAAACTACATCTCAAAGGACTATGATAGCACAGCCATTGGTGACCAATACAATCGATTTTGGAAGCCTAGGCGAAAGATTAAGAATTCTTGGTCCAAAGAGAAGTGTAATTGGTAGTTTTATTATTATTATTTAATTTATGAGTATTTGTTTGACTAGGAGTATTAATTAGAGTTTAACTAGGAAATTGCTATAAACTTTTAGTAGGATAGGGATTTGAGAGTTTGATTATGAAACTCTTTTAGTATTTTAGTAGGAGAGTAATTTTTATTTTAGTAGGGGACTTGGCCTATAAATAATTATGTAATCCCAACTATTTTTATTAGAGAGAGTGATATAATAAAAAATGATTCTCCGTGGAGAATTTGTGTGTTACTTCACCGATTCCTTGCAAGATAAGGTAAATCCCTACCACCCCCTCTTCTTTCTTCTTCTCTTTCTATTCTACGATTTCTAGTCCTTCCCGTCCTACACCAATTTGGTATTAGAACCAGGTTGTGAAGAAACTAAATTTGAAAGTTGAACCACATCCGAAACCATATCATATAGCATGGATTACTGATACCAAGCTGAAAGTTGATAAGAGATATCCAGTTACATTCACCATTGGAAAATTTAATGTGACCATTATGTGTGATGTATTGCCTCTCAAGCTTTGTCATATACTTTTAGGGCCCACTTGGATATGGGATCGTGATGCACAACATGCGGGACGTGCTAATACCTATTCTTTTGCAATTGGAAGAAAGAAGTATGCTCTTACTTGTGCTATTGATGCGTGTACACTACAATTGAAAAAGAGTTTGTTATTGATTCAGAGAACTTATCTATCAGATGGTATTCTTGGCCCTCCTCCTTACTCACCGGAGTTGAGTTCTTTTCAACGGAGGAGAATTGATAGCAGAGCCATTGGTTGGTTAGACCAATACAATCAACTTTGGAAGTCTAGGCGAAAGATTAGGAATTCTTGGTACAAAAGAAAGTGTAATTGATAGTTTTATTATTATTATTTGATTTATAAGTATTTGTTTGACTAGGAGTATTAATTAGAGTTTAACTAGAAAATTCTTATAGACTTTTAGTAGGATAAGGATTTGAGGATTTGATTATGAAACTCTAGGAGAGTAACTTTTATTTTAGTAGGGGACTTGGCCTATAAATAATTGTGTAATCCCAACTATTTTTATTAGAAAGAGTGATATAATAAAAAGTGATTCTCTGCGAAAAATTTATGTATTTCTTCACCGATTCCTTGTGAGGATGAGATAAACCCCAACCACCCCCTCTTCTTTCTTCTTCTCTTTCTATTCTATGATTTCTAGTCCTTCCCGTCCTGTCCTACGTCAAACTATATCATAAGTGTTCCTCCCAAGTATACAACTTACATTGGTGACTTCTCATGCATCAATCCAAACCGATTACTGATACTTCAATATCATCTAAACACTACCAGACCCCACTTGGCATACCATCAAGTTCTAAATATTTGTCAATTGTTATATTACTTTGGACATCATTCTTCTATGAAAAAACTTCTTTCCGCTAATCTTTCTATCGTTATTATATTCGTCAACACCAAAGCTCCCCATAGGATCTTCATTTTATTTCTAAAGTAAACTTTCCCTTCCTCAATTTCCTCCTTTTGCACCAATACTCCTAAATCATCAGTCTTCACACTTATTACACTTAATATGGTTAAATTCCCAGTTTTACTTTCCCTTAATCAAGTCTATATATGTTTCTCTTCATCCTTTGTATTTAGTATATACTAAAGATAGTTTCTCTTACTGCTTTTTAATTTCTTTATTCACACGTTTAAAGTTTAAAACATTTTATGTTTCCATTTATTTTTTTATGTTTTGTACCACATTCTTCTTTTTTTATTGTAGTTTAAACGTCATCATTCCACCACTAAAATGTTTAGCCAGTCAGCCATTATTTTTTTATCTTCCCTAAACTTCATTGATATTTTCCACACACCTTGTACCAATGCATTCCAAATTACATAAATTTCATCTAAATTCCACATCGCTGCTTCAACATTTTGTACTTGGATAAATTATTCTCTCGTAAGAATAAAATATTAAAAATACATGGATAGTTCCCCAAACTATACGGTATGTTTCAGTTTGTTCCCAAATCTTTCAACACGGTCAGTCTAGTCTCCAAAATTTTGAATGTGCTTAAATGGTCCAATGACAAACATCTATTTAAAAAATTAACGAAATTAGCTACGTAAATATCACTTTATTATGTCAAAAGGGCATCTTTGAAAAACAAACAAGAAAAAAGCCCAACATTGGTGGGATTGGACTTGCCCTTGCATAGTATACACTTGAAGGGTAACAAGGGAGCCAAACAATGTTGCTTCCAGTGTCCATACAGAGAGAGATAGTTTGGGAACCAAGGGTGAAGGATAGAGTGTAGTCGATGCTTGGGGGGGAGGAAGAGGGAGGGAAACTTGGCAATAGTTGTTGAACCTTGCAGTGGAGGTGGTGGATACTGTTGCAATGGATTTTGGGGAGAGTGGGTAAGTCATAGGAGCAGAATCTCTTGGGATGACAAAGAAATATAGGTAAAGGAAAGTGCATAGGAGATGAAGAAAACAAAGAAGCCATGTAATCACTAAAAACATAGCAGCTTATGTCGAATATTGCGTGTATATGCAATATCTATGTGTATGAGTGAGCGAATGGGAATTTGACTACAAGGGAGAGGCAAGGAGGTGATTTAAAAGTGGTAATGAGGAGGAGAAGAGGGCGAAGCTTCTAGTAACTAAGCATTTTTCTTTTAGGTCTTCCAAAAAGCCCCTTTTGAAGTAGTCACATGATGTTCATGTGCACTATTAGGTTTGTTGAACGAACATTTATAATTGATTAATATAAACACAAATTCAAACTTTGTAGATCAAATTGACAAAATTAAAAGATTGCAGATCAAATTGATGGAGCACAAAATTTGGGGACCAAAACTATATTGTGCCCATTAAAAATCACCAAAGTCAATGAAGTCACCAAAATTCAAAATAATCTAGAGTTCATATTTCTCACTTAAACTCAACAATTTTGAGAGAATATGATGTCACTCCCCCCCCCCCCCCTTTCTTCCAAAAAAAAAAAGAAAAAGAAATGGGGCCTAAGAAAGGAAGAAGGAGCTCCAAGTTTGGTTGATTAGTTCAAAAAAAAATTAGGGAGTAGCAATAGAATATTAAACATTAATTTTTATATCTTCCAATAATTTATAAAAAAAATCCTTACCATTTGGAATTTGAAGGCCTATATTTTTATTTTCAAACCTCCATATATAAATCACTCTCCATCACAAATTTTGAAAGAAATAGCATCTTAACTGTATCTTTATTATCTTTTTTATAACTAGATTCACATTGTATAATTTTTTGTAACTACGTAACATAATATGGGCATCTGTAGGTGTACTTTTTATTGTCATATAGCTTTTATCAACTTCTTTTTACCAAAAACATTCATGTGGAATCCACGTGATGTGTTGTTATTAACATAAAATGTACCTATTAGAATGTCAACATCTCAAGGTAGGTGTCCAAACACGAAAACGTCTTCTTTTATGGAAAGAAAACAGGAAGGTGAGTACCTATGCTATTGATCAAGAGTGAATCATGTGGAACACAATTCTATTGTATTTGCATATGAGATGAATGAAGATAACCCAAGGTCTCAAAACAGTCATCTTAAACTTGTTAGTATAATAGTGCAACCATTTATACATATCTCAAAAAAGGGATAAATAAAACTACAAGAGTGCACTTAAGAATTCACTCTAAGCCAAGCTTCTCAACCAATACACATATTTTAACTTTTTCAAAACATAAAATGGGGGCACGGATACAAGCATAAAGATCTTAGACATTTTATAAGACAACATACACTGACTGCATCATGCCAAAAGTTGATTGAGGAGGATATCCAACACCTAATGATCCTGGCACTACACCACCAACTGTCTGAGTGGGAGGTATATCTACTTTGGCCACTTTTGATGGGGCATCTTCATCTGCAGGAAACATTAACTGTCACTAAAAGTAAACCACAATTTATAGAACACCGTCACTAAAGAATAAGTTATAAGAATATAAATGGGATACACACGAAGCAGTAGTGGAATTGAAGTACTTTCAGCAACACACATAATCTCTCCTTCACTTTTTCTTTTGTCATATAGCTAGTAAGAAGGATCCAAAGTTCGTTTTGGGTGCATAGATTCGGCCAACTCAGAGATGATAAAGTTTCAACAACAATTCAGAAACAAATTGGAAACAGAAAAACATGAGGAAATTTGTTTCCAAAACATTGGTTGAAACGCCTCAAAACATATCCTTTCTCTTCACTTGCAGAGATGTTAGAGATGTGAAACGCTTCTGACTCCTCAAAACATATGAATTTCACTGGTTCAATTCAGTTTCCATGGAAACCGAAACTTTTCAGTGGGAAAAAAACAAATTATTGATCCTTGAATAGTAATATTATTCCATAAGCAGCAAATTTTAATTTCTTTTTCCAATTTCTTGGTTTATTTCCCTTTGGTTTGGTACCGATAGCAACCATAAGAAGCATGCAGGGCACAGTTGCCTATTTGTTCTTGCGAATTTCTAAGGAACCAAATTTATTGAAGGAAAATATAATTATTTTGGGCAGCTATCTCTCCCAATATCTTCTGCTATCTTTAAAGTGATGCCTAAAGACAATTTACTCTAGAGGGCATGCCCTTCCATTTGGCATGCCTCTTTCTTCCGTACCGCGGATTTAATATGATTCACACAAAATTGAAAACGGTGCAAAGCAATTAAATCAAACTAGATGATGGGTGCGTGAGGTTTTTTCCATTTTTTTTTTTTTTGGGGGTGGGGGAGATCTAGTGATGCGACCGAAATTGCTTGATTAGAAAAGGCATCCACTCTATAAACCTATAGCTAAGGGTATGGGTCCACAACCACCAAGAAGGTCCAAAAGAGGCGTCCTTGGTAGCTGCTGTTTATTATGTGATTTATCTTAAGTTCGTTAGCTATGATCAAATTTATTTATATTCACGTCCACTTTATAAACCCATAGCTAAGGTTATGGGTCCATGACAACCAACAAGGTCCAAAGGAAGTGTCCTTGGTAGCTTATAAACAGTTTGTTATAAGTTATACAGAGTTAGTCACTATTGATCCAATTTATTTATATTCTATTAAGTTTTAGGTACCAAGGATATTTTTTGCTTTTCAATAATTGCTCGAACTAGGTTTTCAAAATAATACAAAGGTCATATTTTGAGTTACTTATTTTGTTTGGCTTAATTTGAAGTTATGAGTGTTCTAGAACAGTCCTAGTAGTCATTGATTCTAAGTCTCGTATTCTGGAGTAGTTCTTTTGGTAGTCATAGAAGTTTAAAGCACATAATAAATGCTTAATTTGATTGATTCGTCAGGGTTCATAAATATGAATTTTTATTGCCTTTCTGTGATGTTTTCTGCGTCCTTGTGAGGTTCTTCTCCTTTTGCTATTTCCTCTTTTCCTACTTCTTCTCCTTAAATCTTCTGTAATTTTAAGACTTATTAAATTTCTCAGTTATTAGATAAAGAAATGCTTCAAGCATATAAAACATATATCGCAAAGCCCAACAATTCTGTCTCTACAACATATAGGAAGAATGTAAACTAATGTTTACATCACTATTTATAGCCCAACATAGTTACTAAAACATTACCGTTTGCTACCAAAATTTGACATCAGCCACTAAACAAGCCATACAGTGGAAATTTAATGGTTATAGGTATAGGGTTTTGTGGAAAGGGGAAAAAAAGAGAAGAGGAGTGAAATTTTCCTGAAAATGAATTCGAATTAATTAACTCATATCGCTACATATAATACTCAAACTCAATTAAACAAAACCTTGTCCCTGTTACATTATTTCAGTATTAGGGGTGGGCTAATCCAATTCCATTTTCGCTTTGCACTGCTATGTACCTTTTCCTTTATGCTTTAAGCAGACTAATGTAGCCGTAATGTGACTCTCTTTTTATTCTCTCTCTCCATTTTATAACCAATTTGTGGTATCAGATCGTGTTTCAATCTTAAAAAAGATTTGCAATGCAGTAGCATTCATCAGAAGTGGTATCAGACGAACAACCTCTGATTGAACAGTGGCTAATGTCATCTGCATAGATGATGACATGCTGACTGCAACAGCAACCAGAGGCAATGAAACTCACCATAATCTGTTTTTGATATCAATATAAATTGATAGGATTTTTCACTTGTCGAATGTTGTTCTAGAAATAGGGTCGAATTTTTTGATCTGCTTGCTCTGCTTTTTTGGAGGTTTTTCTTTGACTTTGCTGGTTCTAATCCTTCCTAATGGGTGCGACTAAGCTTTTTTGATGCACAATTGACTCATTCAAGGTATCTGGCATTGATTGAGTACCAATTTTGGGTGTTCTTCAGGTTCGCCAACCATTATTATATGGCACCTGGTTCTGTGTATTTTGGTTAATTTTCGGATTTTGGCTTTGAGCAAAGCACTGTTTGGTTTGTTTTGGTCATTCAGTGACCTTGACAGTTGGGTAAACAACATTTATTCTTGTTGTTTGACAACTCTGTTGTGATTATGGCAAGCGGGACCACCAACACTCTTCAGGCCATCGGTGTGAAATTAACTTGTGATAATCTTGCCTATTGGGCATATGATATAAAAAAAATTCCTGTACGGAGAAATACATGGAGCTATATCACTGGAGCTGTTTAAGCTCCAATAGATACTAAGGCAAAAAATTATACAGAATTGGTGAACAAGTCAAACATCAATAATGCCAAAAGTACTACTTGAATTAACAACTCATCATCAAACCATAGGTGTTCATCGGCCTTAGTTTAAAACAAGCAAAGAAAATTTGGGACTATTTGGCAAACATTATGTGTTCAATCCAACTTTGCCCAGACGTATCATAGAGAGTCTCTACAAATTATAGAGTCAATAGGTAATTTTTTGAAAATAAATAATTGTGAATGTTGTTTATTATTGTTAAAGAATCTCTACAAATTATAATCATCAAGTCATTACATAATAGTAAAAATAATAGGATACATCCTATTTTGTCCCCTAAAAGATACAAAAAATTTTAGTTTGCCCTCTAAATGATTAATTTTTCCACATTACCCCCACAAAGAAATAAAGACGTTACAATGTGATCCACTGTCTTATTTGACAATGGACCACATTACAACATTTTCTATTCTTTGAGAGGCAATGTGGGAAAATTAATCATTCGAAGAACAAACTAAAAATTTTTGTATCTTTTAGGAACAAAATGAGATTTTTCCAAAATATAAAACATATATATTTATAAAAGTATCTAGGTCGTATCTATATACATATCCAAATCCTTGCTCCTCATCATTGGAAGATCCATCCCTCCTTAAATTCTTCATCTCCTCTCATCATTTTTACCCGAACAGAGCCAAGACGCTCTGTGTATGGTCTTCCCAAACTAATTGATGAGTTTTGAACTATGAAGCACAGACATTCTCAAGAAAATGACGCATCTGTGTCAAACACCGACACTCCTCAAACACTCTCGGACAAATGTCCAATACTCTGTTATCTGTGTCCATAATCAAATGATAAAATTTTATTTTCGACCACGTGGCCGCCACTTTTTTGGTGATTTATCTGCCACTTCTTTAAACAGTGTCTACTATTAAATAATAAACATATGTTGACACATAATTAACAAAACTTAAAAAATCAACTAATAGATATCTTATAATATTAAAGAACATATAATTACCAAGACTACAAATGTTAAAGTTGTACTCAAAATATAACAACGAAAGAAAAAAAATACATAAAAGATTTAGAAAAGAGGAATAGAGAAAATGAGTTCAATCCTTTAAATTGCATAGTTTTGGTACACGTCCACGAAAAAATTGATGATTATTAACGATCATCTTAGTCTAAAAATTCAAATTATATGACTAAACATAACATTTACTTATCATAAAGTATTGAATTTTGTATGAATAATAAATCATTATCACTATATTTATAATAAATTATATAATTTTATATACAAAACACAATTATCTGTAGCGTGTCCTTAGCGTATCCGTGTCCTACTTTTTTGAAAAATATCGTATATGTGTGTCCGTGTCGTATCGTATTTGTGTCCCGTCTTCATGTTTGTGCTTCTTAGGTTTTGTGTAATCCATGCGCCTCTCTTAAAAATCTCCACGGGTTTCGGGTTTAAAAATCTTCCCCTCAACCCATTTAAACTTCAACTTAATCTTGTATGGGCAGCCCTTTTTTATCAAAAGCTCATTGTTGTGGAGCCTAGCAAGATAGAAAAATCAACAACTAGTATTTGCCTATAACAATAGCTATGTTATTATCTAAGAACTCCAGAATTGTGCCAAAACAGTTGTCGGATGATGACTTTCAATCCTCAACATCAGTGACTCAAAGGCTTGATTTGTTTCTATCTTCCAATAATCTAAATGAGCATAAAGACGCAACAATGGTACCCTATCCTAAAGTGCTCGTGAGAATATCAAGGTAGATTACTATGAAGGGATCACCATGAATAGAGGTATAAGCAACACATAACACAAGATCAGGGAAGGCTACAATTGAAAGGCAGGTTACTAGGCTTCATGTTCAATGCCACTTCAAGGATACTCTTCACTTTGCTCCACCAATTGATTGTATCATTTTAGTGAAGTTCAACGACCAAATCAAGAAGATCGATCTCCGAAATTCTTGTTTGTTACCTCAATTCAAGAAGAAAATGAGACATCATCTTAAAGACTTTTCAGAGATAAATACAAATGCAATTTCAAAGCTTTTACACTTTCATAGTACAACTTCTTAAAAACTCGAGGCCAAGTTTTCTCCAATCAATGTAGAATGATACAATCCAAATATGCTCAAGGAAAAACAAATTAAAAGATGTGATGAAAAATGAATTTGGCTTGCCAACAACACAAAGACTCATCTGGAACAATGTTGAATCTTTATTTTGAGTTAATTTGAGTCACTTGGCTGGAATTAGTATTTCCTATGTCCTTTTAATATTTGTTCAGAAAATCAAGCAACCGAGCATCTCATAGCATTCTAAATACATTGTTTGCCAAACCCCATATTTATAAAGTATTGAATACGAACACACCCTCGCCACAAATTAATAACAAAAAAATGGTAAATATCACTCAAACCGCCAACGTGTTGCAAAAAGAGTACGGCCCCCACTAAAGATAGAAAATGTTAAATGTGAAATGACTTATTTACTCTTGGTCAAACCAAAATAAAATATAGAAAGACAACCCACTGCAGACCATAAAGGCAGCCAGCTCTTCTATTGATCAATCCTCCATTCCAATGTCAAAAATATCTCACGATAAACTCATATTAAAACGCTCGCTACCAATCTGACAGGTAACACACAACTGCTTTTCAATTTTTGACTATCGCAACTTCAACATTACACAACCGGATAGTCTCACCAACAAGCCGAAGATTAGACAATATAAGATTGCTATGATACTCCATGCATGTTGAAAACAGAAACTAAAATTGCTGAGTAAAATGTCTGAATTTTGGGGAGTTGAATTGATATCCAGTTTGCTTCGGTGACCGAGAGATTTGATGATGGGGTTGGTGATCGTCGAGTTGTGTGTGGCACACATGGTTTGAATTGGGTTGTAAATGGGGGGTTTGTGTTTTCATGTGGATATGGAGAGAGAGAGAGTAGTGGTTTGACTATGTGTCTGTTGGTATAGGTAATGGGTCGAGTGGCCTAGAGGTGGTGTGGCTTTGAGATGGTTGACTCAATGGTGAGTTTGTGTTTGAGCTGATTGACTTAGTATTGGATTTGAGAAGGATCATAATTGTTGTGGAAGTGGAGCTTGTGAGTGGGGAGAATAGTTTCTGAAGAAGGGGGGAGGGGTTGCGGGTGTGTTTATATTTCTATGCAACAAACTCTGTGTGCATGAGAAAGGGACAAAATACTAATAAGTGGAGAGGTTTGAATACTAGATCAATTATTTTCCAACAAAAATTAAGTTCGGATATTGCATTACTTGTCCCAATCAAGATTGTATTTTGAGAAAATGAATGAGTCCAAGTAAAATCTACCCTAAAATGTAAAATCATTTCAGCTTACCATTATGAACAAAATGCAAAAGTACATAAGCATGCATTCAACATAATCTAACACAAAATGAAAAGTTGACACAAACATAATAAACTTACCGTCCTCTCCATAGTGAGCTGCCAGGATGTCAGGGGGGATCCCTTGCATTCCATATATTTCAATGTCAGTTGATTCTCTACCAGGTTTTGCATTTGGCACCCTGTAGCAAAAATTTCATTTAGCCCAGTGGCCTAATAGTATAGAAGCACAAACAATCAGCACAACAGCTTGAAGAAACAGGCGAGTGAAGCTAATAAGTATTTTTCATACAAAGATCAACTGTAAAAAGAAATCTAAAACATAGATTGTATAACCTATCAGACAACATGAAAAAATGACTGACCAACCCAGTATGCTGCTATACCACTTTGTATTTTCTCAGTATTTTCTAATTTCTGATCTCATAACACTCTATTCAGTACCTAATTTAGATTACTGAAGCTTTTAAATAATTTGGGAGTAGCGAGAAGGCAATGTCATAATCTTGGTGTACGTAGAACTATCTGCTTTCAGAAGTATACCAGTCTGGAAGAAATCCCAAAACAAAATGCAATTTAAGAATATTCAACCAAAAGTATTATTATAACTCAGAGAAGATCAAAAACATAACCAAACTTAGTTTCCGGTAATCACTGATCTTCAATTCCGCTAAATAACCAAAGGCAGGTATTGTAATGTAGCAGGGGAGTTTGACTGAAAATTCCTTAGGCATGACCTCCCTCATAGAAGCTGAAATCTATGTTAGAAAAGTACAATTGAGTTTAGAGAGAGATTGGGAGGGGAGAGGCCAAGCATTCTTTTTTCCTATCTGTAAAAAATTGGTTTCATTCATCAAAATTTGGATAGTGCAATAACTTGCGAAGTATGCCAAAGAAACCAAGTATGAGCTACAAGAGTAAATCTCATAGAAGAAGAGCTCATCACACGTACTCAACAAAACAATGATATATCTCTGGCTACCCTGGAGAATAGGTATAGAGACCCAATTGAGCAGTTTTTCTAAATAAAAAACGCTATATTTTATTGATAAGTAAACAATGCATAATAAAAATTAAGTAGGGCAACACACGTTGGTTAAAACAAAGGACTAATCTCACTAGAATTGAATTCAATCAGCCCCGGCTTCCACTTAGTGGGTTTCGACTCAAGACGAGCAGGAAGGAATGATTCCCTCTCACGCTTGATCAACAAAACACAACTGCCTTCCAACATCAGTTTAGTATAGATAGCACGATTCCGACAGTAAAATGGTGTGCTTCCCCACTTCAATGGATAGGATTTCAAACCTTTTTACAGAAGAAAGAGAACAATCACAATCCTACAGAGAGCTTACCATTTGTTTCTATTAGAGTCAAGAGACAAGGAAACTTTCAGTAAGCCTTCCGTCATGCAATTGTTGCAAGTGTTCATGTCAATAATAGGGTATATTTTTCATTACACTCATTTGTGAGGGTAGTTCTTTAAGGAATCACTCCCCATCCTACCAGAATACAAAAGCGATGGATTTTTTCAAAATCTTTTGTGAACAAAGTCCAGAGAGAAGCTAACAAAAACAAACCAATCCCCTAATCCTTCCACAACCTCAAACGTATCTTCAAAAACTCTAGCCTTCCTTTCCAACCAACTAACCCATAAAGTGGCAAAAATAGAAAAATTTCAGAATGTCATCCCTAGTATGTTTCTTACCATGTCCAATCATGCCATTGGGTTGAACCAATTTGAGTGATTACTGATTACTACTACACACAAAAGTGTGGATTAGGTGTGCCACTGAAGAGTGCATCAAGGATTATCTGGTATGCCAAGTGCAGAAGGGTCAAATTGAAGCTACAGTTCTGGCTGTTCATTTACAATTTTTTTACTCGATATTGTATGTGTCAAATCACTATCCCATAAATTCAAATGCAGTGGCCACATGTCAGATGTGGTCATTCAAGATTTGGCACCCAAACCACTTCATGGCAGATAAGCGCCCCCCCCCCCAAAAAAAAAAAAAAAAAAAAAAACAAAAGAAGAAAGCTGACTACAACTAAGGTGTCCGATCGCCTACTTCTCTAAAGCCAAACCTAGTTGACATGATCTCCACAAGGTAATCCGGCATCTTCATCTTCTACACACATTTCAAAACCAACTGCTTGTTCTAACTCCATCCGCACCTAATCTGTAGCTAACAACAAGTTGGCTTCCATTTTCTCGGTTTCCTCCAACCTCACTCTCTCATCAAGGCGTGTGGGTAGCAAACCCCTGCTCCACCCAGCCCTCCGATCACCATGGTCAGAATTGGAAGCTAATAAGGCCAAATTTTAGCACCACCTCGACCTTACATCTACAGCCAATGTGTGGCAACAAGAAATAATCCCAATTTGGAAATGAAGATCAAGCTCAAAACAAGATTTTCATATCTAAAAGCCTGAAAGAAGAAGAATTGGGCCTCTAAATTGGGCACTAAGATCAGTCCAAGCTCAAAAACTCATGTCTGAGTTTCTAACAAGTTTGCCATGAAGAACTCAGAAACTTGCTGGGATACATCAATGTAGTTTGGCCCTCGTTACTCAAGGTTGTTGAGAGGAAGGAATGGGTGCAGACCCAACCAACAACCTCACACATGTTGGCTTAACACTCTGACAGATATATCTCGGCAGAAATACTTTCCAAGGAGGAAAAAAAAACACAAACACTAGATCCGGCGAACTACCTGGATGATTTTCCCAAAGTCAACCGAAGCGAATTGCTCCCAAATTTCATGTGTTCTTCCCCCACCTTTTCTGAGGACCCATTTCACAATATCAGGTAAAAACCACATTTTCCACGAAAATACGATTCAAAATTATTCTCTCTCGCGAAAACAAATAGAAATATCAGAAACCTAGAAAACTGGAGATGCAAATTTCAGTATGTTGTTTGTATGTATATAGAGGGGGAGAGAGACGGAAAAATACAGACTTGTTGACGGTCTCTTTGTGAACCTGGAGGACGTGAATGACCATGCCACCGGCGGTGGAGAGCTTCTTGTGGCATACATGGCACTTGAAGTGCTTGGCCTTCTGATGCTGCACCAATATCTTCTCATCCTCGAACTCTCTGTCGCAGTAATAGCACCACATCTTCGACGATGCCCTCTTCTTCTTCTTCCCCATCGCTATATACTCTCTCTCTCTCTCTCTCTCACACACACACACACGCACACAACAATCAACCACTCACTTATTCGATCCCTCTACCGAATTAGGTTTTCACAGAAGAGGGAGGGTTAGGGTTTCTTATACTTCTTGCTCGCTCTCTCTGTCTCTCCTCTCTATCAAGGAAGCAATAGAGTTCTTTTTTGTGAAGGGTGACGAATTAAATTTTGTCTATCTAAAAAATATACTTCTGTGCCCATTTGGGTTTTTTTTTGCAGCACTAGTAGGGCCTTCAAATGGGCTGATTGGGTCCAAGTTCGTTTATGTGGCCCAGAAAATTACTTAACCGAGATCTGTCTACGTTTGAGCAAAATTCGGATTGGATAGCATTTTTAGACCCGAATTTGAGTTTGAACCGATTTTT